CAGCAATTCATACTCAGCTGAACATGATATAAAATTTACTGAATAAATGAACATGAAATGTTCGAAGGTTTGCTACTCAACCCGATCGAAACCAGGCGTGGCCCGTGGTATGCGCTACTTGCGCGACCACGCATCTCGGCCAAAGATCAATGACAGAACATGAAATTCCTTCGAACAATATAAACTGATTGATCATGTTACAGTATGAACTGACTAAATATACTAGGTTGCTCGAGAGATTTTTTGAATTAAAACATGAACATGCTTTTCATAGTTATACGCACGGCCACAAGCCACACATGACTAGAACATGAACTTGTACTTAAGTTTATACTGAAAATAAACATGATACTACCAACATCACAAGATGTGTGGATGAAGATACCTCTCCGCTTGCTCGGCAACCTCCGCTAAATACGGTGTTCGTGCGTGCGTACGTTATCCGGCGTTGCGTGCGAGGTGCGTACTAGCTCGCGGTGCGTAGACTACAAGCAATCACTCACCTATCTCCCTTGCTGAATTTAATGGACTATGAGATAGAAGTATAGGCTGAAAGTGTGGGGGAAAATTCATCCCAACTGTTCCTTAAATATGTTGGCCGAGAGGAGCGAATGAAAGTGATGAGATGGTGTGGTGTTTAAGCCACACTAATGACACTTGTAAGCTTAAGAAACTCATCAAATGCTAACTCATCTTATAAAAAGATTAGTCATCTTCAAAAGTCCCCTAATGATGCCACGTGCATGGTTTAAGGGAGAAGAAATGATTTTATTTCCCACTTGAAAATTTAGCTATGGCATTAAAATGCATTTGGCAAATTCCGCACGGCTAATACATATTATCATGTGATTAATACTTAATAAATCACTTAATTATGCTTAATTAATTTTTAAGCATAATACTTAATTACCAAAATTATTCTGGACGTAAACGGTACGTCGAAAGTAATTTACGATAATCTCGACTGAATTGACTGAAATAATTAATTCCGAAAATTAATACACGACAATATTAATATATCGGAACTAAAATATGAGTTATACTGATAAACTGACGGGATATTACACTCGGGCTGGGTGGTCACTTGTTTAGAACATCCCTTGGGGTGGGCAGGTTGGTCGAAGACCTCCTGTTTAGAACATTCCTCGTGGGTGGGCAAGTGTG